TATATATATATATATTGGATATATAATATAATAACACCAAGGAATAACCATATGTTGGTGTTATTCTATTTCAGATATCATTGATAGAGTTCAGAGAGGCGTTAAGCCGTATTTCCGTCCCAGCATATCGAAGGAGAGGTGTCCTAACACGCACATCTGGAGATTGATGGCGCTGTGCTGGGACGAGATGCCAGATTTGCGACCAGATTTCACACACATCGCCAAAGTCTTCAAGGTTGCCAACGGCGGAAGGTAGGCCAGAGGCTCGGCAATCAACAGCGCAAAAAAATCATTAGTAATAGACGAATAGCGGGATTTTATACAGGCGTGGGTAATTTGTGGCTAGCCACCACTGACATATAGATTATGACACTCCTGATGTTATGACAACGAATGTTTCTATAACGTTTCGTAACCTACATTATACTCAGCCGCCACGGGCCATATATAGATTCCGTTGTTACAACGAACGTTTCTATAGTGCAGCACGTGCGCTACACTCGGCCGCCACGGGCCATATCTGTTTGCGCAGTAGAGTGACGGCTCGCTCGCTCGTTCTGATATTAAACGCGGATGATATGAAGGCTCCCACTATGTTATAAGGAGTGTCACAGTAGGTATAGATGTCTATCTTATGACACTCAGCGATGAGCAGCGCAACTATATCATCGATGATAACCAAACTATATCGCTCTGGCTCGTTGTACTAAGGCTGCTCTCCAATTCTTGTTGCAACTTAGATATAGCGTCACACGGTCATTCGATAAAAAACGCGACAGTGCGTAGTACTAGCACCCGGCAGATAGGTGCGATATGATATGACTACTAGGCACTTAGGATATGACTACTAGGCACTTAGGATATGACTACTAGGCACTTAAAAAAAAAACCCCTAACCCTTACCCTAACCCTAAAAAAAAAAATTAATTTAATTCAAGTGCCTAGTAGTCATATCATATCGCACCTTTCTGCCAACACCGTAGTGCTAGGTGCGTTCACACTGGCGCGAATTAGCGGGCTGCAAATCCTGGTTTTTGCAGCCCGCTCGAAAAACCGAGCTTTTTACAAGTGTGAACGCAATTAGCTCACTAAATCGCGCTCAAAATAGCGCGCTGCAAAGAACACTTCCGACTGCGCTAATTTGGAATAAGCGCGCTTATTTGCACCGCGGCGTGTTATCCCGCTCGGCAATTAGCGAGATATTTCCGCCTGTGTGAACAACAACACAATTAGCTCACTATTATCTTCGCTATTAGCGGGATGAGCAGCGCGGTTTTTCTTGTGTGTGAACACGCCTAATAAAGCTGCGTTTGCACTACCGACTTTATGTTAGCGAGTTGGACCAATTTCGCAATTCGGCAACTCCGAGTTGGCGAAAATAGAACATGTTCTAATCTCCCATCTAGTTGCTATCGATCGGTTGGCCGCGCAACTTTTGCGTTTATAACTTTTGCTCTATATATTTTCATCATAATGGCGACACAGCCCACTCGCAGCGGCGAGTGCGGGAGCGTTCTGCATTCATTTTTGTGAAAGAAAGTTGATATACAGTGACACAACAGTGAAAGTGTAATTGAGAGGTAGTATTTGTGAATGTGCGTTCATATAATTTTCAGTTTTTACTGACTCTGTCCCAAGTGCCTGTGTGCTGCATGGTGACTGCTGTTTCAATTGACTACGTCACGAATTTTCCATGGCGTATATGTGTAACATTTTGGTTGCAATTTTTGTACATTAAAGGTTAGTACTAACAGGACTAAATGTATCCTCAAATTCTTACCTGATAGGATTGTTTCTGAACTAGTTAAAAAAACAAAAAAACCTGGGCGATTTGATATTATGATCACGACATTGAATGCTTGCTATGGGCTATGTATGAGGCACGAGTGTTTGTTCACATCGAACGGAATAGCAAAATAGGAAGTATAATGCAGCAATTTAACCATAAAACGTGAAGAGAATCACTTACATTTTGTGAAAAAGTGTACATGATTTTTTATTTTTACTATTTACGTTGACGTAATCGCTTTCAGAACAATGCGTATAATGGACAACATGGTATCGATGCTGGAAACGCATGCGAACCATTTGGAAGAGCTGGTGGCAAACCGAACTAAGCAGTTGTATGAGGAGAAAAAGAAGACGGATGAACTATTGTACAGAATGTTGCCTGCGTAAGTTCTGCCCACAACGCTATAATACTTGTGCACTACGTCTGTTTGAGCTCGTATAATATATCCTTAATAATATCTCTTACGTAATAAGGAATAGCCCATAATTGTTCGAAATCGCCCTAACTATTTCGTCATGCAGTATGTTGAACTTGACCATAAAAATATTCAATCGACAATCCTGGAAATTACAGCTCTGTTGACAATGTTAGCAACATATATTATATATATATATATATATATATATATATATATATATATTAAATGTAATTATTTAAAACATATTATTTTTTTTGTCCCGCTTAAAATAGAATGCCAACACGTTTCTAGCGCAGGGCTTCTATAACGGCGCAGGTCTAGTATGCAATCAGATGTACATTATTAAGCAATTATTGTTTATTAGTAATTCTGCTCTCGATGATACATAGTCAAGAGGTGTAATAATATAGACATTCCTTATTCTATACTTAGCACACTCCTGATAATAATTGTTTAATGCTGGGTTTTCTACTATACGGACAGTTGTAAACTACTTGTACCTGAAACCAGTTGTAAACTACTTGTATCTGGAACCAGTCTGTGAAACTACTTGTACTGAATCAGTTGTAAACTACTTTGCGACGTTATTGTGGCGTACGGTCCGCCCTATAGCGTCGTTGCATGAAGACTGAAACAGGGCAAGTACGTTTCAAGCGGAACGTACGACGCAGTCACGATCTACTTCCGCGACATCGTCCGAATTCACTCTCGGTTGTGTGCGGGATAGGCACGCCTCTACAGTAAGTTCGCGAAATCTGAATTGCTAATTCGAATCTGTGTTTGCCGGAATCAGCTCGCTAGTAACCCGCCTACAACATTAAGACAGAACTAGTCGAAATTTGTTCATCCGCGGATTTCAATGAATAACTTCATCAATATTATCAAATTAGAACTAATAATATTATTTAGTATTATTAAGTATATATGTTAATAACTTATAAATTAATGGTCATTATTTAACCACTTACGTTTTTGTGTTGTGTTGTTCAAGTTGTGGATTTCCTAAATGATCTCTACACGTCTAGTTCGATGAACGATTCGCAAAGCTACAGATGTTTATAAGGTACACTAGAGCATCTCTATCACTTTTATGTTATGTTAGTTTCATTTCTTTTTAATTGTATATCAGCGATGGGCACATGTTTTCGTGGCCCGTGTTGCACAAAGGTTGGCCGATCCTTAAGGCCGCCGCACACCTACAAAAAATCGTCCGATTTCAAAAATGCGCTTCATCGTTTGTAAAATCGGCTCATACGGCTCATCGCTCATACGGTTCAAAATCGAACAATGGTTTGATTTGGAAACGAATCACCCGCATAAAAATAAAATCGTCTAACCGAATGAACCGCGCACACCGAACCCGATATACGGCTCGATTTCTATCGGGCGATCAATCGCGTGAAAAATCCGGCTGGTGTGCGGCGGCCTTACCGCCTTAATCTGTGGAGTGCGCTGCGCTCTACTGGATGGAACACTTGTCGCGGTAATCATGCCGCAGTTCTAAACGGGCGCGTCGGGTGGAATAATAGCGCTAGGTATACGGAACCTCTACACGGTCGCGATACAGCTAATACGATTAGGGTTAGGTTTAAAGAGGATGCATTGTATGCTAAATCTACAATCGATGCATAGTATAAAGTTTCCTGTCTTTCATTCGGTTGACAGGTCCAATCAGCATGGCAATATAATGCTCCAATTTTGAATAATCCCATGTGCTAGGAACATGATAGGACATGAAATGCGTCACTGGTAGTAATTTGTCTGTGTGCGCGGTAGGTTGTCTCTGATCTTATATGCGCGTGGTCGGCGCGCCTGTGGCATGTGTTGTGGCATGCGTGCGTGTGTGCATGTGTGGGTGCGTGCGTGTAGTGCTTTGTGCTGCGGTGGGTGCGTGAGTGCTTGTGTGGGGTGGGCGTGGGCGTGTGTGTGCGGACGTGCGTGTGTGAAGGGGTGGCGCGCGTGGCGTGTGTGCTAGTGTGGGTAGGTGTTTGTGTGGCGTGTGTGGGTGTGTGGGTGTGTGGGTGTGTGGGTGGGGTGTTAACTAAGTGTGCACGCATGGCGTACTGATGGTGTGAGTGTGTGGAGCGTACGTACTGTGTGCGTAATACTGCGTATACATTTTCATTATTTTTCGTTGCTAGGCTTGAAGTATAAGAGATGCCGTACATGGTTGCGAGTGGCCCTGCCTATGAGGAACGGTAATAGACATGCTGCTGAGATAGCTAATATGGCGCTAGATCTCCTGACAAAGGTTAAAACCTTCGAGATCCGGCATCTGCCAAGCGGCTAGGTGGCTGCTGCGTATCGGAATACATACAGGTGGCGTGCAAGACGCGCAGAATGCCAGGCGCAGGGATCTACTTGCGAGAGGCATCTCATGCGTGTTTAGCAGCCGTACTGCACCATTGTTGGCTTCTCATGTCATCTGCGTATGTTGCGGGAAATGTCGGAAGGTAAAAATACGACTTGCGATGTAATACCAGTTATAGAAGCTTTCAAGTCATGCAATACACGGTAGGAAAGCCACTGCGTTATAAGCTCTGGTTATAGAGCTCTTGTAAAGTAAACTGACCGTGGTGGCCTTGAACGGATAGCGGCGTCCTGTTGTCTAAATGTGGTGATGAACGTAGCTCTATTGTTGTTGTTTTTCGATTCGAAACGCCCATTTTTTAATTAATGCCTGCTTACGCATTTGTTTTCTCTGGGGCATTTTCATATTAAAGTGCATATGCACTGCCGTAGGCTTTTGCGTGTGTAATTTGCCGCAAAAGTTCATGCGTTGACGTTATTGGGAAATTCGTGAATAATTGTAAATGAATTCATATATAATTGACCTATTCACCTGCTGTGATTGATAGGGACTCTAGCAAAATTTCGTTAGGATATGTCGTTCTAAAATCAATGATGAAAAGCTACGTGCCCCAAAGGAATAATTCTCTAGCATGGCCGATCTATAAAGAGTGACTTGTGCGTGATTTTTCTCGCCAATACGGATAGATTAATTATAATCAATTAGTTAAATAGACGTGTTTCTTCACGCAGCGCCCGTGCGTGGCTGGTATAGCCGGACTGACAAGCCTAGATACTGTCTCTTCGGCGATACTGTCACACAGCTTCTCGCATGAATCCACCGGCTTAGGTAAGTTCGTTTTTTCCGCTCCCCACCATCTGACGTCATGTCATTCGATTTTGCGGCTCACTGCGTTCTAAAATCAATAATAGCGGGGCGTCTATAACGGTACGTGATCACAAATACCCTGGAACTGCGTATAAAAAGAGTCGGGCGAGCGGTAATCGATGGCGCAACACCTGCCTGCTCATTTAAACAACCGGTAGACGAGCCAAATTTTAGCTAACACTTAGCCGACCACGCGTCCGTCAAACGGCGGCGTATCATCGATGAAGCGTAAGCGTATCGTATAAAAGCGTATAAAATTAAAATAATTAAAATATAATTAAATAAAATAATTAAATAATATTAATAATAATATAATCATATAAACGTATAATGAAAGTGTAAGCGTATAAATCATGTAATCGTTATATATTGTAATCGTTATAGTCTGTGATGAAGTCTGTGGATGCATCTAGTCTGTGGATCATGTAGTCTGTGGATCATGTAGTCTGTGGATGAAGTCTGCGGATCATGTGTCTGCGGATGAAGTCTGCGGATCATGTAGTCTGTGGATCATGTAGTCTGTGGATCATGTAGTCTGTGGATCATGTAGTCTGTGGATCATGTAGTCTGTGGATGAAGTCTGTGGATCATGTAGTCAGTGGATCATGTAGTCTGTGGATCATGTAGTCTGTGGATCATGTAGCCTGTAGATCATGTGGCCTGTGATCATCTAGTCTGTGGATGAAGTCTGTGGATCAATGTCGGTCTGTGGATCATGTGGTCTGTGGATCATCTAGATCTGTGGATCATGTAGTCTGTGGATCATGTAGTCTGTGGATGAAGTCTGTGGATCATGTAGTCTGTGGATGAAGTCTGTGGATCATCTAGTCTGTGTTCATGTGGTCTGCTGGATCATGTAGTCTGTGGATGAAGTCTGTGGATCAATGTAGTGTGGATCATGTAGGCTGTGGCTCATCTAAGTATCTATCTCAAACAACAACAAACGG